TATAGTAACTCAATTATTCTCATGCTCATATAATACCAACAAATATAAATAATTTTAATAAATTATCCTTTAATTACTAATGAAAATCTTCTTAATAACTTTCTCCTTTTATTTTGAGTTACTATAGATGGCAAGACCGTAGATGAATATTCAGAGTGGTATTTATAATTTCTAAATAATAAGTTTGTTTTTGTTGTAAGTTAATTTTTTTTTTTTCATATTTTGTGTATAATATTAATAATAATACATTAATGCTAACATAATTAGCAATTATTTCTAGTGTTATGCATGTTAATGGATGAAGTATAGAAACAGGTACAGATCTTTATAGATAGTTTTTTCATATTCATATTCTTCATTACATCGTGAAATTTAACATTTTTACATGTTATAATGAATACTGTACAAGTATGTGCGGTACAAATCCATCATACAAATGCTTTGTGATTTAACCGACAAATGTATAGACATTTTTATTTTAACCATAGTTAATTTTATTTTTTAATAACATTATAATAATTCTATTGCAGTGATTGATAGTCAAAGCAAACCAACACAATTACAGTCCCGTCTTTTGACTTACGTAATGAAATTGAAGCATCAGCCACGTTCCCCGCTAATACAACTGCATATGCTCTTCTAATTTCAGACAATGTACTTACTTATATACCTTTTGATGGAACCATCCATATAATTTGACATTTTTTGCATGTTTCTGTAAACATTTATTATAAACCTTGCAATTATTATTATTATTATTCTAGTTATGAATATTGACGGCAGCGCAATAAAAACGTTGGACTTGTTGTGGAATCCATGTGAAGATTATTATCAATACAAATATAATAACATCGAATCAAGTAAACAATCAATTTCTAAACGTACAATATTATCTACTATAGCGACAATATTTGACTTACCGAGCACGCGAGTTACAAGTTTCGACAAAACATTTTATGCAACTGTCGTGGATTTTTGTGGGCCTATCTATTTTAAAAATAGTTTACGACGGAACTCTACTAAAATAAAGGAATATGTATGTATTTTCGTGCGCTTTTCATGTAAGGCCGTTCATATTGAACTAGTTGGTAACTTAACAACAAATGCGTTTTTAAATGCGCTGAAACGAATGTGGTGTCGTCGGGGTATCGAAAAATTTATATATTCAGATAACGCCACAAATTTCGCAGGAAGCAACAATAAATTGAAGGAATTAAAAAATTTATTTTGATCAAAAAAACACCAAGCTGTAAAAAATTGCCTTGCCTCTGTCAATGTGGAATGACGATTCATTCCAGCCCGTTCACCACACTTTGGCGGTTTATGGGAGTCGGCAGTGAAATCAGTAAAGGGACATTTAACGAGAACATTAGGTGAAGCATCACTTACTTTTGAAGAGTTAAACACTGTATTAGTTCGCATCGAAGCGCGTTTAAACTTACGACCCTTGATACCATTATCTACGGATCCTTCAGATCTTAGTGCACTAACTCCAGCTCACTTTCTCATCGGTCGATCATTAATTGATATCCCAGATCCAGACGTTATAAACATCACACCTGGGCGATTAAAACGATGGCAAAGAGTCACACAATTGGTACAACAAGTTTGGGAACGTTGGCGAACTGAATACTTGTCAACATTGCAATCAAAATTTATGTGGCACACCTCAGCCGATCTCACACCAGCTGTTGGTGCACTTGTCTTAATTGGATCTTATAAGTGTAAAATGGTAGCCGGTATGTTAGCGCGAGACATAATATAATATTGTATTTTTACCTTTGTTTATCTGGTCAGCAATGTGTCTATTGTAGTATAAGTCTAATCAGTGTACGTTCCACTGCTGAACCATCAGCGACGCGCTCTAAGTCACATTTATATTTAAATATTTTCATTTAAGTTTAAATTATAAATAAAAATCAAGAACAAATGTTTTGTAAATTTTATTTATTCTGAATAAATTTAATATTTATTACATTAATCTCAGAATTAAAAAATATCAAACAAATTAATCTAAGTGAGCGTTCGATTCATTAACATTAATAATTCCACTTCATAACCAATGGCTATGGATAAATCAATTAAAAATGGAGTACATTTATTTGATACTTCTATACTCATATACCTTATTACAATAATGATAATTTTTATATTATAAATCAATATTATTACTAGTTACAATGAACTAAAATCATACTTGTGTTATACTCGAATGTTATTGCCGATTTTGTGAGAACTTATCCCCAACCAGTTTCTTCAAAATATATTGTTCACGTGTTTCAATCAGTGATATCAGGTACATCAAAATATTCTATAATATAATCAAACTCTGGTTAAAATATTGACAGAAGCAGTTTTCAAAATTAAATGTAGTTCCTTTAACGTAGATATAATTAAAACTTTATATTTCAGTGGCGTAATTAGGGTTTCGTCTGGGGGGGATATTTGTGGAGAGCACAAATCTAGTCTTCGACTAGATACGATTTGTGATCTTTTGACGTATCGTTGAAAGAAATCCGTTCAGTGAGAGCTGAGAAAAAGTGGTAACAGACACAAAAAAAAAAAAAACACATCATAGTAAAACCAATACCTTCTCAGCTTCGCATCGAAGCTAATATTTTTAGACCAAATTAATTTAAAAATATACTAAGTCTCGGAGAGTGAATTTTTGAGTAGAATGTCGTAGATTTTGTATATTTTAAAATCGCCAAAAAACTGGTTTTGACGGGGGAAAATGACTTTTTATAGTCCGAAGTGGGTAGTCCAGCGATCCCTGCCATAATCATGGAGCTGATGCTTTCTATTTGTTGTATTTATATATTGAACAATCTTTTTGTTCTAACTTATAGTTTTAGTAGTTCAATAATAACGCAAAAAGTACATTAATAAAGATATAATCAATCAAAAATAAAACATATAAAAAATTAATACACTTAAAAAAACCGGATAAATAAATAATACACAAAAAAAACTTAATGTCACAAACGTACCACACGGAAAGAGATTACCTTCGGTACTCCCGAGGTCTTCTCTTTCACCCCTTCTAATTCGTTCCGTTTCATCTTATATACTAAAATATTTTGTTTGTCTTTTTATAAAATTCATATAGTAATCATTTTCAAAAAGGTTTATAAATATTTACTTCCTGATCTAGTAACAATAATTCGGGGAATTACAATTAATCCAAACATTACAAAAGTGTTCTACTTCTAGGTTTACAAATAATAGACTATATTATATTTTAGTAATAATAGATTAAGAGATTCATAATGCCATAATTTTCAAAAATGTTTATAAATATTTACTTCTTGGTTTATTAACAATAATTTGGGGAATTACAATTAATCTAAACATTACATAAGTGTTCTACTTCTAGGTTTACAAATAATAGACTATATTATATTTTTGTAATAATAGATTAAGAAATTCATAGTTAAACCAAACATTACAAAAATGCTTTGTTTTCAGTTTTATAAAATAATGACCTATATTACATATTCTAATTGTTTAATAATAGTGGGGTGCTGCGTGTAGCCGTTACATAAAAATCTCTACAATAATTATATTTTATCTCATAATAAACTGGTTATTTTATATTTTAAATAAGAGAACTCTGTTTGGTGAAATTGTATATTCATAATATGTGACATACATGTACACAGAATAACATAAAATTATTTGTTAATATTATAAGTAATAATATAACATTACAATGTAATAAAAATAATTTATGTTATAAGCATGAAATATTATAATTAATTCTTTTAAATTACATAAATTTGATTATTTGGTCAACCATAGTACGAACAAAATCTATGAATTCATAGTTTTTTAAATAATTTAAATACTCGAATTACAATGGATAATTTTTCATAATTTAACTGATAAATGAAAAACAATAACCGTTCAAATATTATTTATTTTAATATTATTGGACACTCAAAATTAAATTTAGATTTTTATGAATTTTAATCAAAACAATTATAAGTCATTTTGATGATTTATATATTTATATATATATATATATATATATATTATAGATACACATATTATAGATCAAGAAATCTTTCTTCTTGCCGCTCCCGATTATATTGTTATATTGTAATCCAAACTAAATTGTTTGAACGACCAAAAAACCCTAAGTTTATGCTTAAATATATTTTTAAAATATTCTAAAAATATATTAAACCTTTCAAAATTATCATTCAAGCCTATGTTATCAGAGATATTTTGAAAATCTTCTATTTTTTCTTTGCTTATTTGAACTAATTTCATAAGTGAATTAGTTTTCTCAATTGAATTCATGTTATATATTTCGTTATTTACTTCTATTTTTAATATTTCAAATGAATCAACAAAAAATGATTCTTCTATCATGTCTTCAACCCTTCCGATCATACTATTATTTGCATCATTATAGTTTTTAAAGAATATTCCTAGATTATATAATAACCTATCTGAGAAATTTGAAAAATGAGGAAATAACAAATTAAATGTATACTCATTACGTCGCAAGAAATTACACATTTCTTTACTATACTTAACAATAATTTTTTCATCCTTATTTCTTAAATACATTAGATGCTTTCTAATAAAATGTAAAGTTACGACTCTAAAGATGTTAAAGATTTTATCATGATAAACTCTAATTTTCGAAATCCATGTATCAAACAAATAATAATTCTTTGCAGCTTGACATGCAATAATAATATCTTTTATAATAACTTTGAAAGTTTTCTTACTTTGTTCTCCGAAATCCATTATTATAGTTTTCAACATATTTGTATTTTGAATAATTTCGTGAAGATAAATTAAATTAAGAGAAACCCAATCTTCTGCTTCTTCACCGTGCAGTAAAATATTATTAATATTATTTCTATTTACCATTACTGTCTTTACTTTTTCTATCATTGAAATCTTCTCTTTTTTTTCTAGTGCATAAAATTTAGCTGTTATATTGTATTTATTATTTTCTCGACAGTTATTAGTTGTATATAACGATAAAGAATCCTTTATATTTTCTAGAATTGCCATAACATGTGATTTCATCGATGAAATATTCCCCATTGTTTGGTATTTTATATAAATTGCAAACATGTACATTTTCCAAAAAGGCTGTAAATATTGTGTTAGTACATCTACCTTTAGTTTTACAGCTAGCATTTGTTGAATAGTTGATTCATTCAACAATAAATGATCGTATTCATAAGTAGAATCATATTCTATTAAGGATTGAATAGAGCTTATGAATTGTAAAAAATTATATAAATCACCGCAATAAAGATCTTTGTAGATAAAATGTGTTTTGGTATACGTTTCAAATCCTGGTTCTTCTCTATCGATTATAGTATCTTTCCAATCATCGAAATCCATTTCAAACATTTCAGGGTTAGTATTATAAGAAAATCCAGTATCAAGATTGAATGCTACTTCAAGTTTTTCTGTTTCTTCAAGTTCATCAATAAATCCTTCTGCCTCTATATAATAATAACTACAANTCTGCTGCTTCTCTAAAATTACTACAAGTGATAAATTGTATATTACAAAATATCCCAAAGATGATTGTTAACACACAATATTGATAAAAAATCATTATTAGTATCTTAATTAATGAATAATAAACTTCTTAAAAGGTGTACTTATTCAAAACTGCACTATAATAAATTTTAGATATTTAATGTATGATTTTATTTATATAAACATTAATTATACTGAACTATTTAACAAAAATGTGTGTTTAAACAGCTAAAAAGTGATTTATTGTCACAGAATTAATTTAAACATAATTTTAGACTTAGTATTAAAAAAAAAAAAGAAATTGTGTTGATATAAAATTGAATAAAATCGATTTTCTTATAAAAAACAAAAATTATCCAGAAAAATATAAATTTAAAAATAATAACTACGTCATAGTATCTAATTCCGTCTTAATATTATTTCTATAAGCTTTATTGAACCTTAATTGGATTTTTAATTAACAACATATTAACACTTTTAGAAAACATTTAATACATGTAATTAAAATGTATGCTATAACACTGTTATGATATAATTTAAAATTATAATGAGGGGTTTAGGACATTTAGAAGATATAATGTACAGAGTGATTCATTTATGATTTATGATCACTAAAAGTTTTAAGATTTAAAATTTTTTTTTGGTTCTTAAGATTTTGTTTATTACTGTCAAATAACATCTATACTTGTCCCAACTATGCCTCATCCACACGTTGTTGCAATCCTATTTTACTACGTATTTTTATTTAACAAAGGTGAACATCAAGGTTTATCATAATAACTCTTTTGAAAATTGACATAGTAGTATAATCAAATAATAAATAACTTTAATATCTTAATAACTTAAGACAAAAATATAGTAATTCAATTGCTAATAGGTCTACTCTGATCACTTTATATATCTATGAGACATTATTACATATACTTATGGTACATCATAAGTGTAATATGCTTAAATGAATCATATTTAATACATATATTATATATTTTATTTCATACTTATTATCGGTTTATAAATATACTATAATGTTATCTATTGTAGTAAATAGCTGAATAACATCGATTTTAGTATAATACGGGGTTTAATAGTGATTTTATTTTATTTAAAAATGCCATAATTTTTTTTAAAAATTCCAATTTAATCTTTTTTCTTTATTTTTTATTATACTCTTTTATAAATTCATGAGGTTCATAAATTCATTTAACTATCATTTTGTATATTTTTTTTTATAAATTTGACCGTTTACCTGAAATGACCACTTTTTCACTAAAAGTTAACTTTTTCAACTTAATTTTGGAAGTGTTCCGGAAACCACGACATTTTTATATATATCTTAAATTAAAGCTAATGTAATATACTTTATTATGAAAAAAAAAAATCGGACTTTATTTTGTCTTCATGGAGAAAATGGGTACCGTATGCTATTAGTAATAACTACGTCATAGTATCTAATTCCGTCTTAATATTATTTCTATAAGCTTTATTGAACCTTAATTGGATTTTTAATTAGCAACATATTAACACTTTTAGAAAACATTTAATACATGTAATTAAAATGTATGCTATAACACTGTTATGATATAATTTAAAATTATAATGAGGGGTTTAGGACATTTAGAAGATATAATGTACAGAGTGATTCATTTATGATTTATGATCACTAAAAGTTTTAAGATTTAAAATTTTTTTTTGGTTCTTAAGATTATGTTTATTACTGTCAAGTAACATCTATACTTGTCCCAACTATGCCTCATACACACGTTGTTACGATCCTACTTTACTACGTATTTTTATTTAACAAAGGTGAATATCAAGGTTTATCATAATAACTATTTTTAAAATTGACATAGTAGTATAATAAAATAATAAAATAATAAATAACTTTAATATCTTAATAACTTAAGACAAAAATATAGTAATTCAATTGCTAATAGGTCTACTCTGATCACTTTATATATCTATGAGACATTATTACATATACTTATGGTACATCATAAGTGTAATATGCTTAAATGAATCATATTTAATACATATATTATATATTTTATTTCATACTTATTATCGGTTTATAAATATACTATAATGTTATCTATTGTAGTAAATAGCTGAATAACATCGATTTTAGTATAATACGGGGTTTAATAGTGATTTTATTTTATTTAAAAATGCCATAATTTTTTTTAAAAATTCCAATTTAATCTTTTTTCTTTATTTTTTATTATACTCTTTTATAAATTCATGAGGTTCATAAATTCATTTAACTATCATTTTGTATATTTTTTTTTATAAATTTGACCGTTTACCTGAAATGACCACTTTTTCACTAAAAGTTAACTTTTTCAACTTAATTTTGGAAGTGTTCCGGAAACCACGACATTTTTATATATATCTTAAATTAAAGCTAATGTAATATACTTTATTATGAAAAAAAAAAATCGGACTTTATTTTGTCTTCATGGAGAAAATGGGTACCGTATGCTATTAGTAATAACTACGTCATAGTATCTAATTCCGTCTTAATATTATTTCTATAAGCTTTATTGAACCTTAATTGGATTTTTAATTAGCAACATATTAACACTTTTAGAAAACATTTAATACATGTAATTAAAATGTATGCTATAACACTGTTATGATATAATTTAAAATTATAATGAGGGGTTTAGGACATTTAGAAGATATAATGTACAGAGTGATTCATTTATGATTTATGATCACTAAAAGTTTTAAGATTTAAAATTTTTTTTTGGTTCTTAAGATTATGTTTATTACTGTCAAGTAACATCTATACTTGTCCCAACTATGCCTCATACACACGTTGTTACGATCCTACTTTACTACGTATTTTTATTTAACAAAGGTGAATATCAAGGTTTATCATAATAACTATTTTTAAAATTGACATAGTAGTATAATAAAATAATAAAATAATAAATAACTTTAATATCTTAATAACTTAAGACAAAAATATAGTAATTCAATTGCTAATAGGTCTACTCTGATCACTTTATATATCTATGAGACATTTTTATATATATCTTAAATTAAAGCTAATGTAATATACTTTATTATGAAAAAAAAAAATCGGACTTTATTTTGTCTTCATGGAGAAAATGGGTACCGTATGCTATTCCCAAAAAAATTACAAATTTAAAAATCGGTAAATTTTGTCATTTTTTTCACTTTTTTTTCTTAAAACTTCCATAACTTTTTCAAAAATCAACAAATCAACATAACTTTTTTTTATACTAAAACCTTAGATATTTTTTTTACATTTAATTTCATTTTGTTTGAAAATCTAACATTTATTCCGCTCACAAGGGGTGATTTAAAATAGCAACTTTTTTACAAAAACTAACTTTTTCAACTTAACTTTTGAAAATGTTCCGGAAATACTGCGTCCTTTAAACATATATCAAATTAAAGCTTATTTTATGTACTATTNTCCGGAAATACTGCGTCCTTTAAACATATATAAAATTAAAGTTTATGTCATGTGCTATAAAATTAAAAAAAAAAAAATTTGTTCCGGCGACCTATCTACTAAGCGCAATTATACTATTTTTGTGTTAAAATCCTAAGTTTTGTATTTTATTTTATTTTAAAATATCTTACAAGGGGAATACACTGACTTTTATGAAAACTGTATGATTTAATTGACATAGAATTAAGTTCATAAGACATAAGAATTTAACTTATTTAAATTTTTTTACTATTTTAAAGTTGAAAAAGTAATTTTTAAATTTGAGTTAGCTTAAATAGCCAATTTTATCATGTGTCAAGAGTAGCGAACAGTTGCCGAACAGGTAACACTTGTGTTTTTCACACCTAAGGTACGAGGTTCAGATCTATCTGTGTGAATTAATATTTTGCATTTTTTTCGAATTAGAATAAAATTTTCAAATAATTTGAGTTGTATATAAATAGCGGGTACGGGCTCTCAAAGATGCCGACAATGATGTCATCTATTGTTCTTAGATTAATGGGGCGCTATTGTTCTCGGAAAAAAATAGGTGCGCTACGGGATCTCAAAGGTGCCGACTAATTACGTCATCTACTGTCCCCGGGGAACAATGGGTGCACAGGTTAGATGTATTCCGCCATGGTGACGTCACACCTGACCTACCGTAACCCCCTGTGGCCTCAGTGCCCGTGGTGTCTGCATCCAGGTGCAGCTCGTGACGTCATCCCCCTAGTTGACGACGTCACATCATTGAACCCTGACCAAAGGGGTAAGCCGCTGTGAAGTCATACCTAAACATTGATATTAGGGGTTAAGCCCTACGGTGGGCGGTCCTAGCCGACGTAAGACTTCAACACTGACTTTAGGGGTATACCGTTATGACGTCATACCTGAACCTGCTACAGCTGGCCCGTTACACACACACACACAATCCCTAAGACGACGTCACGCTAACGTAACTCTGTGCTATGATAATGTGAGCCCTAGATGTCCTATCACGCCGTGATTGTGCCGTCGGCAATGACGCTGTCGTGTACGACCCTATACCCTACGACTACAATGTCGGGCGGTGCTTCATCGATCAGCGCAAAAGCTCCCTAACTCCGTCGTCATGGATCCTACTACCGACTAGTCGATGTCGGGTTGATTAAAAAAAAAAAAAAGTTCATTTTCCAGAGTATCTACGCGCAAACGGTTAAACTTGTGTATAGTACGCATCGAGTCCGCGCGTTTGATGTGTCATAACCCTATATACCGGCGTGCCAATTCACCCCGACGCTGTCGTTTAAGTTTAAGTCGATGTTTCGTAAATGATGAATACCCCTTCCATGTGGTTCCGCTACACATTCCAGACATTCTGACAGTCGTTGTGTTTGATAAAAAAAAAAAGCCATCGAACATGTGCATAACGCGTAGGCGCAATATCAGAATCAGCATTACCACAAGGTCGTTTGTTGTTTACAACATCGACCCTGTGTGTGTACTATGACAAATATTTTTTACGTTAAAATATAACTACAATGCATCCGTAGTTGCTGCTGTAGCTGCCGCTATTGAACTTATTAAATTAAAATTATTAAAAATTAAATATTTACATATATTTTTAGTATGAATGTATATACTATTATTGTAATAAGTAAAGGAGGTAGTCAGGTGATTATGGAAAACAATATCTAGAAAACTAGAAAAGTTATTAACTTAGTAGGTAAAATTGACGGTTAACTCAAATACAGAAATGTGTCGTAATATACTCAGCACTATCATAATATAAAATAACAGTGGGCTGTTCTGTTTGTATCCAAAGCAATGGTCGTTCATTTAAGATTATAAATAATTTTATTTATAAATTATATTCATAAGCTTAGAATAACATGATTGATTTTCTTTAAGATATTCATAAACTATACTTGTCAGCTCTTTTTACTATTATCTTAATAATAAAACACAATATCTAAAACACACAATGTGATAAAAACAAACTATTTTAACGTCATATAAAATATCAAAGTGATTTGTATATTATTTGAATGTATTAATTTATATATTTCAAATATTAATTTATATATTTGATGCTATTTTATATATTAATTACTATATTTTATGATTACTTGTCAATAAAATAATAAGCTATATAAACAACTTATATATAAAAACAAACTAAAGTGATTTTCTCCTACCGATTATCACGTTTATACATGTAAAAAAAAAAAAAAAAAAATCAATTTTTGCTATATAACTGGAGAAACAGCATATATACGTTTAATAATTCGTTTTCATGTGTTCTACTAGTTTCTCTATGTTCATCATTTTTATTTTTTAAAATAGAAGATCGAAAATCATTAAAAACGTAAGTAATATATATTTTTCTTTTTCAAAGTAATATAACTTTAACAATAATATTTTTTTAATTTTCAGTAAAATTATTTCAGTATATTGCCTGAGTTACACTTCAAATTGGGGAGAAATAAATCAAAAATCGAGTTAAAGTATGCTAAATTTTACATATTTATATTTTTTTTCCAAAGTAATGTTTGTAAAAATAATTTTTAATTTTTAGGAAAATATTATCACTGTTTTCAATTGCAAATATTGGAAAATGAATTATTCACCTCGGTGTTAATTGTATTTTTTGTTTGAGAATAAAAATCACAGTAAGTTATTGCATTGTTTGTTACTAAACTCTACTATTTAGTTCGAAGTGTACATATTTCTTTTTATTAATTTTGTAGACATTTTGTAAAAATCAAGAAATTTAACGGTGTTTGAGCAATGCATTAAATATGAAGATGCATTAAAAAGTCCCGTGACGCTAGATATGATAAGAAATTACTGTAAAATTTATAAATCTGAAATACGTTCAGTTGTATACAATTTATTGTTTGGGCAAAAAAATTATTTGAAGTTTAATTTTTATTCTATATTTTCGCATAATGTAAACAATAAAATTATGTATTCGATATGCACAACTGATGAGTGCATACGTCATATGGCGTATAACCAAGATAGTTTTACGATAAAACATATCATAGATCAAATATCCATTAATCAGAATAGTATGTATTATTTAATTTTTAATTTTCCATCACAGTTCAAATATCATTATTGTGATAGTAAATTATTTAACCCTTTAGCAGGCGCGTGTCTATTTTTAACGTTCATAGTCGCGTGGGGGTCTATCAAACCCCATTTCTAAGAAAGTATATACTATGTTTAAAAGAGTGCATTTTTTTTAATTCAAAGACATTATTTGTTACCATATGATATATAAATATGGATAAAAATTCAATAATAAAAATTAAAAAATAAATAAATTACAAAATAAATAAATTACAAAATTATGTGCATTACTAACAATTATATATATATATATATATATATTTTTTAGGAACGTATATTAGAAAATGTACAATCTATACAGCTATATGTACAATAAGTAAATATGTGAATAGGAATAAAATAGACAATGATATGGCGGTGAGGAGGAAGCTCACATTAGAGCCACCTGTGTATTATTAATTTTAAGTGGGTTAAATAATATTGAGAAGGTCTCTTGACCAGTTGCGTTTGAGGCGCCTGTTTGGATTGCCCGGAAGAATTGTTGAGTGTAGCTGAGTGACGAGACGGTTGGGATGGGATTGCATTTTGGAATGTAGTCTTTTGTAGTATATGTGTGAAGTTTTTTTAACTGTTGCTATTTTGAGGTCTTCGTGGAGGGAGTTGTTGGTGACGTACCACGGTGCTTTGGTTATCATACGGAGACAAATAGACTGGAACGCCTGTATTGTCCTTATGTTAGACGGCTTTGCAACACCCCAAAGAGCGATACTGTATGACCATATTGGTTGTAGGAGGAATTTGTAAAGAAGTTTAGTTAAATAAATTACAAAGTTATGTGAATTACTAAAAATTATATTACGAAAAGAAAAACTTAATTTTCAAAATTCCATTAAAAAATTATGGTTTGTAAAAAAATTATTTTAACTGCAAAACCTTATTTTTGAGACGGTAAACAAAAGCTTTTACTTTTACAAAATGTATTTTAATTAATTTTTCTTGTATTTCTTTGAGCTTAAACGCGGCTTATATTTATTAGTTTTATGTGTATTTACATTTATTTGATCATTATTCTGAATTGAATTTTATTATTATTAATATTACAATACATTTAATTATTATGATACGAGTATATACAATTATTCGTTTGTAGTAGCACATTGATTACCTATAATCAATGTGCCCACATTGCGACGCAATGGATTTATTACATGTTTTGTTCTTATTTGTTCCGTATTATCGAGTAGTGGAAATTCTCAATAGATTATTTATTTTTAAAACTTAATTGCACAGTCGGTGGCAGATCCACATAATTCCAATTCTACAATACTATATCGATTATTTACACACTCTACAAACCCGCAACCGTTGGACGAAAAATGCGCTTAACATCAATGTCAATGATGTAATCGTCATCAAGGACCCGCAGTTACCCCTCTTAAAATGGCGCATGGCTAGAGTACAAGAAGTCATTCCAGGAGCGGATGGGGTAGTTCGTGTTGTACGTCTTCGTACTAGCGATGGAACGTTATTGCGGCCCGTAGTTAAAATAGTCAAGTTACCCACTTCGTAAATATTTTTCTATTATGTTTATATTGTATTAATTATCAGTAGTATATTTATTTATTTTAGTATATTTATACGGTATTGCATCATGTACGTTTGAAAAAAAAAAGGAGAAGAAAATCACGGATGAGAGAAAACATATATTAATTAGTTCATTTTTATTACAATAAAGGATGTGATCAATGGTTTTCTGAACTTTCTTAAAAAAAAAATGTTTCATCTTAAAATATGGATTTGTTTATGTTTTTATGTATGTTTTATTTGTCTAATATGACCAAATTATTGGTGATTATGTATAGCCATGTATTTATGTTGAATGGAATAGGTTATGTAATTAAAAGATTTAAAAATTATTCGTAATATAATAGTATTTATTATAAAATAACAAAACATATAATATAAGAGATGTACAACGGCAATAGACCGTGAAACTACAAGTAAACTATAAAAATGTATACAATAGGCTGTTTATCAATATTGTGTGTTAACAATCATCTTTGGGATATTTTGTAATATACAATTTATCACTTGTAGTAATTTTAGAGAGGCAACAGAATTTATTGATGAACTTGAAGTAGCATTTAATCTTAATACTGGATTTTCTTATAATAGGAACCCTGAAATGTTTGAAATGGATTTCGATGATTGGAAAGATACTATAATCGATAGAGAAGAACCAGGATTTGAAACGTATACCAAAACACATTTTATCTACAAAGATCTTTATTGCGATGATTTATATAATTTTTTATAATTCATAAACTCTATTCAATCCTTAATAGAATATGATTCTACTTATGAATACGATAATGTATTGTTGAATGAATCAACTATTCAACTAAAGGTAGATGTACTAACACAATATTTACAGCCTTTTTGGAAAATGTACATGTTTGCAATTTATATAAACAACCAAACGATGGAGAATATTTTATCGATGAAATCACATGTTACGACAATTCTAGAAAATATAAAGTATTGTTTATCGTTTTATACAACTAATAACTGTCGAAAAAATAATAAATACAATATAACAAATGAATTTTACGCACTAGAACAAAAAAGATAATTTCAATCAAAAAAAAAGTAAAGACAGTAATGCAAATGCAAATGAAAAAAACGACAAAGTACTTGCTGGTTAGATGTTAGTTTGCAACCAGTAATTGATTCGAGTGTACCTCCAACTAGCCAAACTCCTCGATCCTTTATGTAACTTATAGTTTTAGTGCTTGTCATAATATTCTAATTACTTATAAAATTACACATATATGAACTAAATAAAAAAAAATATATATTCACCTCAGGGTGGAATTATTTTAGCTTCGATGCGAACTTAACCTGCTCATTGGTGGGGATTTAAAATAGCAACTTTTTTTACAAAAATTAACTTTTTCAACTTAATTTTTGAAAATGTTCCGAAAAAACTGCGTCCTTTAAACATATATCAAATTAAAGCTTATTTTATAGTACATAAAATAAAAAAAAAAATTGTCCCGACGACCTATCTTCTATACGCAAATGGCTACCGTATTCAATAATATGCTATTTTAACAAATTTTTTTTTTTTAATTAAACACTATCTATAGATTTGCATCGAAGCGTTTTTTGTGATAGTGATTTTAATCACTGTCAGATATCATTTATACTGGACCCAACTATGCCACGAACCCACTGTGCCGCCACCCCACTGTGCTGTGTTTTTTATTAACACAAATACACAAAATTTGAACACAATTATTCAAAAAATATGAACTTAACGAAACACTATTTACGTTTTTTACGGAAACGTATGCGTGAGTTTTGAGTTGAAACTTACTCAATGACTGTATCTCGTCATAACTTCTTTTACGTCTTTTTTCGGACATCTTTAACCTTTAATTAGCTCTTTATTCTTTTTTTGCAATATTCATATCAACTCCTAACATAATACCACGTCGTCCTTTTTGTCTTTGCATTAATAAAAAATCTCTATCTTCTTGTAATGACATTAAATTAAGGGCATCAACTTGAGCAATATCAAACAAATCATTTAGTTTTGAACTAAATTCTTCATTTTTTTTTTGATTGAGTGTCAGATTTTCTGTATTGCAATTTTTGTAAATTTCTCCATTCATCGTAATATTTTTGAAGTTTTTTTATGCAATACTGTTCAGAACTGATAGGTATACGCTCTTTTTGCCAAATAATAATTATCTCTTTTATTGTCAGTTTACAGCTTTCAAGTATACTCAGGTTAACATGACGAATATCAAAACAAAAAAAACCGATAGTACTTGTCTTATTGACAGTAATTTACTACCAATAATTTGATTTGATGGCAAACCAATCAAAAATATAAATGTATCTTTTCGTAAAGTTTTCTGTGAGGCCATTTTAATATGTATTAAAAAAATTTAAAAATATGAAAATTATTGTAAACACCCCATCCCTAAAAGATATTAAAAAATCCCCTCAACCTGTGACATAAGATCAAAGACTAGATACCCAATAAAGAAAAGCTCACAATAGATTTTTAGTATTAAATAAAAATTGAAAGTTGTTTTAGATTTTTTATAAAAATAAGATAATTAAAAAAAGATTTAATGTTTTAAATATAATTTGATATTTATTTCAATAATAAGAAAAATAAAACATTATTATTCAATGAACAAATTAAATTAAATTAAAAGATTCACCAAAACAAAATTCACTTTAATATTTCTATGTGTCATTTAGTTTTAAATAAAAATATTCTAAGACTAAATAAATTAGACGATAATTAGATTTTATCACATAATAAACTGGTTATTTTGTATTTTAAATAAGAGAACCCTGTTTTGGTGATCATTATTATAAGTAATAATATAACATTACAATGTAATAAAAACAATTTATGTTATAAGCATGAAATATTATAAATAATTATTGTAAATTACATAAATTTGATTATTTAGTCAACCATAATATGAACAAAATCTATGAATTCATAGTTTTTTAAATAATTAAAATACTCAAAGTACAATGGATAATTTTTCATAATTTAACTAGTAAAATAAAAACCTTTAACCGTTCAAACATTATTTATTTTAATATTATTGGACACTCAAAATTAAATTTAGATTTTCATTAAGATTTATGACGACAATTATAATATTATAGGTCAAGAAATTTTTCTTCTTGCCGCTTCCGATTTTTAGTTTTATTGTAGTCCGAACTAAATTGTTTGAACGACCAAAAAATCCTAAGTTTATGCTTAAATATATTTTTAAAATATTCTAAAAATATATTATACCTTTCGAAATTATCATTCAAGCCTATATTATCAGATATATTTTGAAAATCTTCTATTTTTTCTTTTTTTTCTTTGCTTATTTGAACTAATTTCATTAGTGAATTAGTTTTCTCAATTGAATTCATGTTATATATTTCGTTATTTACTTCTATTTTTAATATTTCAAAAGACTCAACAAAAAATGATTCTTCTATCATATATTCAACCTTTCCGATCATATTATTATTTACATCATCATAGTCTTCAAAGTGTTTTCCTGGTTTATTTAATAACAAATCTGGGAAATATGAAAAGTCAGGAATTAACAAATTAAATGTATACTTATTATGTCGCAAGAAATTACGCATTTCTTTATTATATTCAATCATAATTTTTCCATCCTTATTTCTTAAATACATTAGATGCTTTCTAATAAAATGTAAAGATACGACTCTAAAGATGTTAAAGATTTTATCATGATAAACTCTAATTTTTGAAATCCATATATCAAACCAATAATAATTCTTTGCAGCTTGACATGCAATATTAATATCTTTGATAATGTCTTCGTAAGTTTTCTCACTTTGTTCACCGAAATCCATTATTATAGTTTTCAACATATCTGTATTTTGAATGATTTCGTGAAGATAAATTATCTTAAGAGAAACCCAATCTTCTACTTCTTCACCGTGCAGTAAAATATTATTAAAATTATTTCTATTTACCATTACTGTCTTCACTTTTTCTATCATTGAAATCTTCTCTTGTTTTTCTAGTGCGTAAAATTCATCTGTTACATTGTATTTATTATTTTTTCGACAGTTATTAGTAGTATAAAACGATAAACATTCCTTTATATTTTGTAGAATTGCCAGAACATGTGATTTCATCGATGAAATATTTCCCATTGTTTGGTATTTTATATAAATTGCAAACATGTACATTTTCCAAAAAGGCTGTAAATATTGTGTTAGTACATCTACCTTTAGTTTTACAGCTAGCATTTGTTGAATAATTGATTCATTCAACAATAAATAATCGTATTCATAAGTAGAATCATATTCTATTAAGGATTGAATAGAGTTTATGAATTGTAAAAAATTATATAAATCACCGCAATAAAGATCTTTGTAGATAAATTGTATTTTGGTATACGTTTTAAATCCTGGTTCTTCTCTATCGATTATAGTATCTTTCCAATCATCGAAATTCATTTCAAACATTTCAGGGTTAGTATTATAAGAAAATCCAGTATTAAGATTGAATGCTATTTTAAGATCTTCTGCTTCTTTAAGTTTATCAAAAAATTCTGCTGTCTCTCTAAAATAACTACAAGTGATAAATTGTATATTACAAAATATCCCAAAGATGATTGTTAACACACAGTATTGATAAAAAATCATTATTAGTATCTTAATAATTCAATATAAAACTTCTTAAAAGGAATACTTATTCAAAACTACACTATAATAAATTTTAGATAATTTAAAGTATGATTTTATTTATATAAAATCTAAAATTATGTTTAAATTAATACTGTAACACCAAATCACTTTTTAATTGTTTAAACATATTTTTTTTAATAGTGTTTAGTATAATAAATGTTTACTGAACACTATTAATTTTATTTAAAATTGAGTAAAATCGATTTTCTTAGAAAAAAAGAAAAATTATTCAGAAAAATATAAATTTAAAAATAATAACTACGTAGTAGTATTTAATTCCGTCTAAATTTTAAAGCTATAAGCTTTATTGAACCACAATTAAAGTAAATCATATCATTTTTCTAAAATAATTTTACGAATATTTGTCTAATATGAGTTTCAGCAATAATTTAACTTATGACTTAAATTTTATAAGTATTTTTCACTAAAACTCCAATTGATTAAATTCATAATATCAACACTATATTAATACTTTTAGAACAACATTTAATACATGTACGTGAATATCCAAGCAGAAACATTATTATCTTTATACGCTACACTGCCCTTAGTTGGATTGATTTGTATTACGACAGATTTTTAAATTCAACTTTTTGTATGCTCTGAGTTATGAGCCTGGATAGTGCACGGAATTACTTCTATGCCTTTTACCTAGAAACTCCTTTTTTATCAAAAATACGAATATTTAGTTAAGACTGTAGTTAAATTATTCATTATATACATTATATTTATAATAATAACGTTCATCTAGTTTAAGAATAATCAGTATGTAACTGATTAATTCCTTGATTACAATCAACTTATATTATCCAAAAAGGAAATATTGATAATTATTTTAGCTTCGATGCGAAGCTGAGAAGGTATTAGTTTTACTATGATGTGTTTTTTTTTGTGTCTGTTACCACTTTTTCTCAGCTCTCACCTAACGGATTTCTTTCAATGATACGTCAAAAGAGCACAAATCGTATCTAGTCGAAGACATTACCCTTAAAAATTGAAAAAAATTCCCTCGTTCCCCGTAAAAGGGAGAAAACTCCAAAAAAATTACGAATTTAAAAATCGCTAATTTTCGAAATTTTTTCAACTTTTTTTTCTTAAAAGTGCCATAACTTTTTTAAAAATGAACATATCAATATTATTCTTTTTTATATAGATGTGTTATATCATTATCTTTTGTTTAGTATATTTTTTTTATAAATTTAACCCTTAACCTGCCCATAAGGGGGGATTTAAAATGACAACTTTTTCACAAAAAAAAACATTTTTTCAACTTAACTTTTGAAAATGTTCCGGAAGGTCTGACACTTTTATATATATCTTAAATTAAAGCTAATGTAATATACTTTATNTTGAAAATGTTCCGGAAGGTCTGACACTTTTATATATATCTTAAATTAAAGCTAATGTAATATGCTTTATCATGAAAAAAAAAAATTCGGACTTTATCTTATCTTCATGGTGAAAATGGCTACCAAATGCTATTTTTGTGTGAAAATTTTCGATTTTGTATTTTCCATTTTTAACTTTATTATGCTATAACTTTATGAAAAATGTATGAATCATTACAATTTTTTTATGAGAAGTAGTATTTATATACATCTTTCATTCGACATACTGTTTTTTTAAATGGGACCATTTTCTTAAATACAGGGGGGCTTCAAAACATAAAAATGCATATAGAAAGTAGAACTTTATCAACTTAACTTTTGAAAGTGTTCCGGAAAGTCTGACACTTTTATTTATATCTTAAATTAAAGTTAATGTAATATGATTTATTATGGTAAAAAAAAATTTCGGACTTTATTTTATCTTCACGGTGAAAATGGCTACCAAATGCTATTATTGTGTGAAAATTCTCCATATTATTTTTTAAAATTTTTAACTTTATAATGCAATGACATATTGAAAAGTGTATGGATCAACATTATTTTTTATGAGAAATAAATTTTTAATAATCCCTTTTTCATTCGACATACTTTATCTTAATTGAGATATTAATAATGAACTAGCAGATCATGTAGATTTTGGAATAATCCACCGATTTTTTAAAATTAAACAGTATCTAAAGATTTGCATCGAAGCATTTTTTTTTGATAGTGATTTTAATCACTATCAGATATCATTATACCAGTGTTGAGAAGGAACTGGTTCCAAAAGGAACGGATTCCTGGAACGAGTTCTTTTTGAAGGAACGAAGCTAGGAACTGCTTCCTTTTAAAATAAAGGAACGAGGAAAATGAACAAATTCCATTTTTTAAGGAACGTGAACGGAAATTACAGTTCCTAAAAATTTTTATAAACATGTTTTAGTGTAGTTTTCTTCGTATCTAGACATTAAAATATCAAGGTATTTTTAGTTGACATTTGACAATGGAAGTCCCATATATACCCAGCCGAGATCGTAGGCTGTTTAAATGAATCAATTGACTATAGAGTTATTATCACATGTAGGTATACAGTAAATANATTAGTGTAGTTTTCTTCGTATCTAGACATTAAAATATCAAAATTGTAACAATTGACCTGTTTCCTTACATACTGAATACTCTGTGTATGTATTAAATAAGCTAATTAATTATAACTATCTACTTTATTTANTGAATCAATTGACTATAGAGTTATTATCACATGTAGGTATACAGTAAATATTTAATATATGTGTACATATATTAAATAATGCACCGAATATTATCGTCGTTTCTTGTTAACTAATATACAGGGTGTTCAGTAAGTCAGGAAACGGGTTTCTATTGTTCTCATTGTAACAATTGACCTGTTTCCTTACATACTGAATACTCTGTGTATGTATTAAATAAGCTAATTAATTATAACTATCTACTTTATTTATAAGTTAATGATATAAATAAGAAAATAACTGTCCAATAACATTTTGACCAATATTTCAGAAATTATTGACAATTTAAAGTAACGACTAGAGGTGAGGATTGTGTTGCTTTTTATATTATTAAACATCTCTCGGCCGTACTCTTCCTCTCACCTAGATATAAATGTGTCAATCATTTCCGAAATACTAGTCCAAAAGTTGTTATCAAGCAATCATTTCCTCAATTTGATCATTTTAATAAATAAACTAGTTATTCATATATGTTAACATAAGAAAGTATAAAGTTACACTACTAATGTATTAGAATAGAATATAAAAAATAATTAATATTACCATTAATGTATTGAAGTGAGTAAAATATGTTACTATAGTAAAACAAAAAAAACCAACCCAGCACAGGGGGGTCGCGGCACAGTGATGACGAGGTATAGATGGATCAAGTATAATGCAGTGTTGGGAAAGTTCCTTTTTAAATGGAACTCGTTCCGTTCCCCGTTCATTTTCTAAAATATGAACTCGTTCCAGATCCTAGTTCTTTATATTAAGAAGGAACTTGTTCCAGATCCAGTTCCTCCAAAATAAGAACTCGTTCCACTCTTCGTTCCTTTTATGTAACCAAGTTATTTAAAAAATTGTGTCAATGAGATCATGATAACGGTCATCAATGATTTTCATCAGCAGTCGAATACAAAACAAATTTGTAGTATTCCTTATCTAAAAGTATTCGAAAATTATATTTATAAACAGGTAGTAAATGCTAACGACTTGTGTCAACGCGACCAATGTCTATTGTCTACATATAAGTTAGAAATAATAAATCAGAAAACCCAAAACCTTTAACATACATGGTGTTCAGTAAGTCAGGAAACGGGATTCTATTGTTCTCATTGTTTGTAAAAAATTCTTTTAAAAAAGAAAATTACTAAAAAAGAGCTATTTTCAAATTTTGAAAAACTAAAATTATAAAAATTTAAATATTTATTTATTCATTTGTGTATTAGAGACAAATAATAAAATGTGATTTTAACGTAGTCATAAACTGTAAAAATTTATATAATAAAAAGTAATGCAAAATATTTTCTGAGTCAAAGTTTATTTAAAATGTCATATCCTGATGGGACACCATGTATATGTCACCTTTTGAAAAAGTAAAGTTTATATCCTTATAGTTTGGTCCGAAGTTATATTCATTTTTAAATTTTGTTAAATTATCCCTAACACACCATCAGCCAGTAGAAATTTGTATTAACTAACTTCAAAACTTAACTAAATTATTTTTATTTTTCGATTAAATAGATAGTTTATGATAAAATATCACCTTATATATTTTTTTCATTAACATTTTATTTTATTCTATAATATTTTATGATAAATAATGAATATCATAATTCACACAGAAAAATGATAAGGGGAGGAACAACTGTTGTTTGGAGGGCCTAATTAACCTACTTTGTGTTTGCCTTTATGTTAGTCCAAGTTAGATTCGTTATTAATTAATTAATGAATGTATTACTGAAAGCGATGTGACGATATCATCTTTTGGGTAGATAATAATTGAAGGTGCAGTTACTTTTGTAATATTATATTCGGGTACAACTGAAGAATTGTAATGTTTTATATTTCCATATGGCCCATAATCGTATTTTTGGAATCGACCTAATTAATATTATTAATGTTTTTGGAATTCATTGAAGTTAAAAAACGGCCTATTATTTATAAAATTTAATAAATTAATTGTCAACTGTTGAACTTGAATTATATATCTAACCCTTTTTCAATTTGAATAACGTAAAATAAAATGGAAAATTAACAATATCGGTTCTCTTTTTTTAAGTTATTAACAATTTAACTATTTTCAAACACGGACTATGAAGGGAAAAGAAGTTATGGGGCTAGAGCTTTGAGATTTAAGGGTTTAAAATTATTTATTACAAAATACCATGTACTATAAAACTAGCGTAATCGTGGGTAGATAAAGTTGTTATACTCCACATTTTCAAAATAATTATATAGTGAAAATACATTTTTATTCGTTTGGATAGGAAAAAATTTTCTTATTTGTATCCCTCCCAGACTAAACCCTTATTACGCCATTGAAATATAAAGTTTTAATTATACCTACGTTAAAGGAACTACATTTAATTTTGAAAACTGCCTCTGTCAATATTTTAATCAGAGTTTGATTATATTATAGAATATTTTGATGTACCTGATATCACTGATTGAAACTTGTGAACAATATATTTTGAAGAAACTGGTTGGGGATAAGTTCTCACAAAATCGGCAATAACATTCTAGTATAACACAAGTATGATTTTAGTTTATTGTAACTAGTAATAATATTGATTTATAATATAAAAATTATCATTATTGTAATAAGGAATATGAGTATAGAAGTATCAAATAAATTTATTCAGTTTTTAATTGATTTATCCATAGCCATTGGTTATGAAGCGGAATTATTAATCTTAATGAATCGAACGCTCACTTAGATTAATTTGTTTGATATTTTTTAATTCTAAGATTAATGTAATAAATATTAAATATATTCAGAATAAATTAAATTTACAAAACATTTGTTCTTGATTTTTATTTATAATTTAAACTTAAATGAAAATATTTAAATATAAATGTGACTTAGAGCGCGTCGCTGATGGTTCAGCAGTGGAACGTACACTAATTAGACTTATACTACAATAGACACATTGCTGACCAGATAAACAAAGGTAAAAATACAATATTATATTATGTCTCGCGCTAACATACCGGCTAACATTTTACACTTGTAAGATCCATAAAAAAAAAAATTAATTGAAACTATAATATACAAATCCAAAAAAAAATTAATTGAAACTGTAATATACAACATGATCACATGTTGATGACATAAAATTAAATAAATAAATAATAATAAATAACAACATTTTTTATATAAACAATTTTTTTTTAATAAACATAAATATCAGTTATAAACAAAATAAATATATATTTATTTACCCTAATCAGTCTTCTTGATCTTCAATAGGGAGCGGATATAATAATCGACATGCTCTTTTGACAACACCATGATTTGTCTTAATAGTCGCTACTCTGGCTATATTATCTTTGCCTGGAAACAATTCATTAATTCGTCCGAGTTTCCATTCCAATGATGGTAGATTAGTTTCTTTTATTAAGACAAGTGCACCAACAGTTGGTGTGAGATCGGCTGAAGTGTGCCACTTAAATTTTGATTGCGATGTTGACAAGTATTCAGTTCGCCAACGTTCCTAAACTTGTTGTACCAATTGTGTGATTCTTTGCCATCGTTTTAATCACCCAGGTGTGATGTTTATAACGTCTGGATCTGGGATATCAATTAATGATCGACCGATGAGAAAGTGAGCTGGAGTTAGTGCACTAAGATCTGAAGGATCCGTAGATAATGGTATCAAGGGTCGTAAGTTTAAACACGCTTTGATGCGAACTAATACAGTGTTTAACTCTTCAAAAGTATGTGATGCTTAACCTAATGTTCTAGTTAAATGTCCCTTTACTCATTTCACTGCCGACTCCCATAAACCGCCAAAGTGTGGTGAACGGACTGGAATGAATCGTCATTCCGCATTGACAGAGGCAAGTCAATTTTTTACAGCTTGGTGTTTTTTTGATATAAATAAATTTTTTAATTCCTTCAATTTATAGTTGCTTCCTGAGAAATTTGTGGCGTTATCTGAATATATAAATTTTTCGATACCCCGACGACACCACATTCGTTTCAGTGCATTTAAAAACGCATTTGTTGTTAAGTTACCAACTAGTTCAATATGAACGGCCTTACATGAAAAGCGCACGAAAATACATACATATTCCTTTATTTTAGTAGAGTTCCGTCGTAAACTATTTTTAAAATAGATAGGCCCACAAAAATCCACGCCAGTTGCATAAAATGTTTTATCGAAACTTGTAACTCGCGTGCTCGGTAAGTTGCCCATAATCGGTTGAAATACCTTTGGTTTAGATTTGAAACAAGATGTATATTTATGCACACTACCATGATTTATTTTCTGTTAGTGCTTTTGGACTGCATTCTCGGGATTATCTCTTGATCGTACGTGCTTCCATTGCTCAGCCATATAAGTGTAATATATTTCTCCGACGCGGTGAGAAACAAACGTTTTCCATCGAGAGGATGGTGAATTTATCCATGTCAGAACGATTTGTGAATCTGGCCAATATCATATTTTACTTGTACAACATTTATACTTTGGAATTAACTTATTGACGAGACACACTGATAATACGGCGGCACACAGTTCCAGTCGCACGAGTGAAATCATTTTTAACGGAGCGACTTGCGATTTTAACGCAATAAGTTGAACTATACGTGACCCGTCTGTGTCTGTTGCCATTAAATAAATACACGATCCGTATGCACTCATAGACGCGTCCGCAAAAGCGTGAATTTGCATGTCGCACACGTTGTCACAACCAATTATTCTTCGTGGTATTTTTATTTTTTCGATATCTGCTACTTCATTACGATACGTTTCCCATTCCCGACTAATGTGTGCGGGCAGCTGGTCGTCCCAATCCGTTTTCAGTTCCCATAGTTGTCGCATTATCTTTTTCGCTGATACTACAACCGGTACAATTAGTCCAAGCGGGTCAAATATTGTCGCTATAGTAGATAATATTGTACGTTTAGAAATTGATTGTTTACTTGATTCGATGTTATTATATTTGTATTGATAATAATCATCACATGGATTCCACAACAAGCCCAACGTTTTTATTGCGCTGCCGTCAATATTCATAACTAGAATAATAATAATAATAATTGCGAGGTTTATAATAAATGTTTACAGAAACATGCAAAAAATGTTAAAATATATGGATGGTTCCATCAAAAGGTATATAAGTAAGTACATTGTCTGAAATTACTAGAGCATATGCAGTTGTATTAGCGGGGAACGTGGCTGATGCTTCAATTTCATTACGTAAGTCAAAAGACGGGACTGTAATTGTGTTGGTTTGCTTTGACTATCAATCACTGCAATAGAATTATTATAATGTTATTAAAAAATAAAATTAACTATGGTTAAAATAAAAATGTCTATACATTTGTCGGTTAAATCACAAAGCATTTGTATGATGGATTTGTACCGCACATACTTGTACAGTATTCATTATAACATGTAAAAATGTTAAATTTCACGATGTAATGAAGAATATGAATATGAAAAAACTANATAAGAATATGAATATGAAAAAACTATGTATAAAGATCTGTACCTGTTTCTATACTTCATCCATTAACATGCATAACACTAGAAATAATTGCTAATTATGTTAGCATTAATGTATTATTATTAATATTATACACAAAATATGAAAAAAAAAAATTAACTTACAACAAAAACAAACTTATTATTTAAAAATTATAAATACCACTCTGAATATTCATCTACGGTCTTGCCATCCAAATAAAATTAAGATAGGTAATGAACATTCATCTTGTTTACGTGATACAATTAAGTTGTACATGTAAACAAGATCTATCATACGGCAATTTTTAAATTCACTCCTCAACTTTTGACTGCTACTTGTAAATAAGTTAAGTATTTCTATACAATTAANATGATACAATTAAGTTACTTCTATCTTATGATAGTTAATCTATCATACGGCAATTTTTAAATTCACTCCTCAACTTTTGACTGCTACTTGTAAATAAGTTAAGTATTTCTATACAATTAAAATTATCTAAGTAAACATAATTTTCAACCTTTATAAAGTAAATTAGTTTTGTTCAATAACTATTAGTTTTAATTTTACTATCATAAGTATTACTAATAAATTGTTTACTTTCAAGCCAACGTTTATGCTGATAATCAGACTCTACGGTGAATAGACTTTCATACAATTCTCGTAAATAAATCTCCAGATCAATCGATGAGCGTTCAATTAAATCGTTAATAATTGCCTCATATTTTTCATATTCTGCGTTATTAACGAAATATTCGACCACTACATCAGCCCAAATGTTCATATATTGTCCGGTAAGGTAGGCATATCATAATAATGCCCTATGTTGATAACATTTAAAATATTAATTTAATAACAACTAAAATATTTAAAATTGTAATTTCCTATTTTAACATATAAAATATACGTTAATGATATATGAAGAATATTNACATATAAAATATATGTTAATGATATATGAAGAATATTATTACATTAATGTTATTATTATAAGGGTAATATCTTCAACAAAATACGAATTGTAATCATTTGACGTATCGTTGATAAAAGTAGGTCAAGTGAGGGTTGACAAAATAATTCGTAGCCACAAAAAAACCACATAGTAAAATAGTATTAACCTGAATAAGAAATTTCATTACACGAGGGGAGACTATAGTGATGGGATCCTTGATATTTATTGAAGTTATTGAATCTAAATGAGATAAAAATCAAATAATTTGAAAATTTTATCCTAATTCGAAAAAAATGCAAAATATTAATGCTCACAGAAGGATCTGAAACTCGTACCCTTAGTGTGAATAACACAAGTGTTACCTGTTCGGCAACTGTTCGCTGCTTTTGACACATGATAAAATTGGCTATTTAAGCTAACTCAAATTTAAAAATTACTTTTTCGACTTTAAAATAGTAAAAAAATTTAAATAAGTTTAAATAAGTTTAACTACTTATGCCTTATGAACTTAATTCAATGTCAATTAAATCATATAATATTCATGAAAGTCAGTGTATTCTCCTTGTAAGATATTTTAAAATAAAATAAATACAAAACCCAGGATTTTAACACAAAAATAGTATATTTTTGAATACGGTTCAATTGCGCTTAGAAGATAGGTCGTCAGGATAAATTTTTTTTTTTTTTTATAGTACATGACATAAGCTTTAATTTGACATATGTTTAAAGGACGCAGTATTTTCGGAACATTATCAAAATTTAAGTTGAAAAAGTTAATTTTTGTAAAAAAGTTGCTATTTTAAATCCCCCCTAATGAGCAGGTTAAGTGAGATTTCCAAAAAAATGATATCAAATGAAAGGTAAATTTCTAAGGTTTTAGTATAAAAAAAAGTTATGTTGATTTGTTGATTTTTGAAAAAGTTATGGAAGTTTTAAGAAAAAAATGTGAAAAAAATGACAAAATTTACCGATTTTTAAATTTGTAATTTTTTTGGGAATTGCATACGGTACCCATTTTCTCCGCGAAGACAAAATAAAGTCCGATTTTTTTTTTCATAATAAAGTATATTACATTAGCTTTAATTTAAGATATATATAAAAATGTCATGGTTTCCGGAACACTTCCAAAATTAAGTTGAAAAAGTTAACTTTTTGTGAAAAAAGTGGTCATTTCAGGTAACAGCCAAATTTATAAAAAAAATATACAAAATGATAGTTAAATGAATTTATGAACCTCATGAATTTATAAAAAAGTATAATAAAAAATAAAGAAAAAAGATTAAATTAAAATTTTTAAAAAAAATTATGGCATTTTTAAATAAAATAAAATCACTATTAAACCCCGTATTATACTAAAATCGATGTTATTCAGCTATTTACTACAATAGATAACATTATAGTATATTTATAAACCGATAATAAGTATGAAATAAAATATATAATATATGTATTACATATGATTCATTTAAGCATTTTACACTTATGATGTACCATAATTATATGTAATAATGTCTCATAGATATATAAAGTGATCAGAGTAGACCTATTAGCAATTGAATTACTATATATTTGTCTTAAGTTATTAAGATATTAAAGTTATTTATTATTTTATTATTTTATTATACTACTATGTCNTTATTTTATTATACTGCTATGTCAATTTTCAAAAGAGTTATTATGATAAACCTTGATGTTCACCTTTGTTAAATAAAAATACATAGTAAAGTAGGATTGCAACAACGTGTGGATGAGGCATAGTTGGGACAAGTATAGATGTTACTTGACAGTAATAAACATAATCTTAAGAACCAAAAAAAAATTTTAAATCTTAAAACTTTTAGTGATCATAAATCATAAATGAATCACTCTGTACATTATATCTTCTAAATGTCCTAAACCCCTCATTAAAATTATAAATTATAACATAATAGTGTTATAGCATACATTTTAATTACATGTATTAAGTGTTATCTAAAAGTGTTAATATGTTGTCGATACTTATTAAAAATCCTTTAATTTTGGTTCAATGAAGCTTATAGATTTAATATTTAGACGGAATTAGATACTATGACGTAGTTTTTCTTTTTAAATTTATATTTTTCTGAATAATTTTTGTTTTTCATAAGAAAATTGATTTCACTCAATTTTAAATCAAACAATTTATTTTTTTTTTTTGAATACTAAGTCTAAAATTATGTATAAATTAATACTGTGACAATAAATCACTTTTTAACTGTTTAAACACACATTTTTTTAAATAGTATTCAGTATAATAAATGTTTACATAAATCAAATCATACATTAAAATATCTAATATTTTTTATAGTGTAGTTTTGAATAAGTACTCCTTTTAAGAAGTTTATTACTGAATAATTAAGATACTAATAATGATTTTTTATCAATATTGTGTGTTAACAATCATCTTTGGGATATTTTGTAATATACAATTTATCACTTGTAGTTATTTTAGAGAGGCGGCAGGATTTATTGATAAACTTGAAGAAGCAGAAAAACTTGAAGTAGTATTCAATCTTGATACTGGATTTTCTTATAATACTAACCCTGAAATGTTTGAAATGAAGTTCGATGATTGGAAAGATACTATAATCGATAGAGAAGAACCAGGATTTGAAACGTATACCAAATCACATTTTATCTACAAAGATCTTTATTGCGGTGATTTATATAATTTTTTACAATTCATAAGCTCTATTCAATACTTAATAGAATATGATTCTATTAATGAATACGATCATTTATTGTTGAATGAATCAATTATTCAACAAATGCTAGCTGTAAAACTAAAAGTAGATGTACTAACACAATATTTACAGCCTTTTTGGAAAATGTACATGTTTGCAATTTATATAAAATACCAAACAATGGGGAATATTTTTTCGATGAAATCACATGTTATGACAATTCTACAAAATATAAAAAATTGTTTATCGTTTTATACAACTAATAACTGTCGAGAAAATAATAAATACAATATAAGAGCTGAATTTTACGCACTAGAAAAACAAGAGAGGATTTCAATGATAGAAAAAGTAAAGTCAATAATGGTAAATAGAAATAATATTAATAATAATTTACTGTACGGTGAAGAAGTAGAAGATTGGGTTTCTCTTAAGATAATTTATCTTCACGAAATTATTAAAAATACAGATATGTTGAAAACTATAATAATGGATTTCGGTGAACAGAGTGAGAAAACTTTCAAAGTTATTATGAAAGATATTAATAAAGCATATCAAGCTGCAAAGAATTATGATTTGTTTGATACATGGATATCGAAAATTAGAGTTTATCATGATAAAATCTTTAACATCTTTAGAGTCGTAACTTTACATTTAATTAGAAAGCATCTAATGTATTTAAGAAATAAGGATGAAACAATTATTGTTAAGTATAGTAAAGAAATGTGTAATTTCTTGAGACGTAATAAGTATACATTTAATTTGTTAATTCCTGATTTTTCAAATTTCCCAGATATGCTTGTATGTAAACCACATAAAGACTATGAAGACTATGATGATGTAAATGATAGTATGATCGATTATATTGAAGGTATGATAGTAAAACCATTTGGAGTTCAGTCATTTAAAATATTACAAATAGAAGTAAATAACGAAATATATAACATGAATTCAATTGAGAAAACTAATACACTTATGAAATTAGTTCAAATAAGCAAAGAAAAAATAGAATATTTTCAAAATATCTCTGATAACATAGGCTTGAATGATAATTTCGAAAGGTTTAATATATTTTTAGAATATTTTATAAATATATTTAAGCATAAACTTAAGGTTTTATGGTCGTTCAATCAATTTAGTTTGTACTACAATATAACAATATAATCGGGTGCGGCAAGAAGAAAGATTTCTTGATCTATAATATATATATATATATATGTATATAAATTATCTAAATTATCTAAATTACTTATTATTGTTTTCATAAATCTTAATAAAAATCTAAATTTAATTTTGAGTGTCCAATAATATTAAAATAAATAATGTTTGAACGGTTAATGGTTTTTATTTTACTAGTTTAATTATGAAAAATTATCCATTGTACTTCGAGTATTTAAATTATTTAAAAACCTATGAATTTATAGTTTTTGTGCGTTAGTTCACTAACTAATCAAATTTATAAATTTACAAGAATTGTTTATAATATTTTATGCATATAACATAAATTATTTTTATTACATTGTAATATTATATTATTACTATAATATTAACATATAATATTATGTTATTATGTGTACATGTATATCACATATTATGAATATACAAGATCACCAAACATGGTTCTCTTATTTAAAATATAAAATAACCAGTTTATTGTGGG